GAGAGAGAGAGAGAGAGAGAGAGAGAGAGAGAGAGAGAGAGAGAGAGAGAGAGGTAAAAGGATGACAAATAAGAGGAGGGAGGGGAAGGGCTAGAGTTCCAATCCATCGGGGTGGTAATGAACGAGGATACCCTTTATATCCTCGACGTCATTTGCTTTTTCTAACTTATTTCCCTCTTTACGTGTCTGCTGTGTCTTCCCTACAGGCTGATTCCGGGACTTTTCACATCAGAGGCGTTGGGAGTGATCGTGTCCCTGGTCCCAAGAGACTTTGGCCCCGGCGCCATTGCTGTTCCTTCCATGACTTGTCGAAGCAGCAGGCCACTGGAGAGCCCGGCCTGTCCCCACACCCTGGCACAGAAGATGAACCAGAAGTCAGTCGCTGTCAAACTTAGGACTGGCCAAGGGTACACCAACGGGGCGAGCTCAGTTGCACTGTTGAAATAGAGGCCCAAGTTCGAATCCAGTTGCAACGAGAAGAACAGAATAACATAAATCTTGTCTTGTCTTGATTTAAAAACAAGAGATTGGGCAAGGGATGAAAGGAGGGAATGAGAGAAGGAACGGAATGACATAGGAACGGAGAAAGATACGAACGGGAGAGAAGCGAGGCCGGAGGATCACCAATCACGAAGGCACGGAGAGAGAAAATATTTGACGGCAGTTTACGATTGCAAACAACGTAGGCTGACAGACAGTGGGGACCACTTGGCAGTGCGGTGGACAACGAGGAGACTGTTGAGGCGAGTGAGAAGGCGGTCGCTTGTGTGATGAGTGGAGGTCATTCTGGTGGCAGAAAAATGGCCTGTAAGGACCTCGGTCGGAGCGGCCAGTTTTCCTCTGTGATGAAGTCGAACAGGTGGGATTCTGAGCCAGCAGGTCTGCGCAGAACTCGCTGGTCCCAGAGGTCCCGCAGCGGCATTAGCAGGCCTTCTTCCTGGCATTGTGGTGGGCTTCTGCTGGCTTTTCTTGCCGTGGCAATGATATCGTTTTACCCTACGGCTGTTATGGGTCAATCAGGCGCTCTTTCAGCTCCAGATCTGGCTAGTTGCCAATTCTCACTTCGTGTGGGTGGCCAGCCGTGCTGCCTACAGAAGCCAACTTCAACGACTCCAAGATACGCGTTCCAGGCGAACACGTCGATCCCCCAAGGTGTCAGGCAATCCTATCAGACTGCATTTAGCAATTCCGCTTACGTGAGGAAGTACACTGAAGCGTACCGGAAGATGAAGGCACTGGACGGGGATGATCCAAACGACCCCCGTGGCATGGAGCAGCAAAGGCGTGTGCACTGCGCTTACTGCAGCGGAGGGGGAGCATACGGATCTAACTACGAGATGCACGGCAACTGGTTCTTCCTACCCTGGCATCGAATGATGCTCTATTTGCATGAGCGCATCCTTGCTAATCTGGCAGGAGATCCCGGGTTCAAGATCCCCTTTTGGAACTGGGACACGTCTAGAGGCCGGGAAATTCCCAGAGAGTTCCGGGACCGCACCACGGCGCTACACAATTCCCGGCGCAACACGGACGACAATGACCTCAGAGACAGGATGGAAAAGGGAACTACAAACCGCATCATGGAAGTCAGCGTCCTCGAGGCCGAGACCATGGACATGTTCCTAGGCGGACCTATTGGCAACGGCCGACCTGGAGCGTTAGAATATTCCAGCCATGGCGCTGTTCATATGGCTGTTGGAGAGCAGAACAATCCATTCCAGGACATGGGCAATCTGGGCTTTGCGGCAAGAGACACCCTCTTCTACGGTCATCATGCCAACATCGATCGGCTCTGGTCCGTCTGGACAGGCTTGCTCCGGACGGATGGTCGGCCTCGCAGGAATCCCACATCCGCTGCATGGCTCAACTCAGCTTTTGCCTTCTACGACGAACGGAAATCAATTGTGTCCATGCGTGTGTCTGACACCGTGGATCCCGCCAAAAGTCTGCGGTACAGTTACGAGAATGTCAAGATGGAATGGCTTCCTAGCAACAACAGGTTCGCTGCTGCCACGAGTGTGCTCAAGCCAAGGCCATCCCCATATCTTCCGTCGATTCCAACAGATTCCCAAGATGTGGTGAGAGAACTCGATGAAGGAAGCGATGCAGATGAAGAAGGACAAGAAAGAGCAGAGGCAGCACAAGTAGTTCCAATGGAAGGAGAGGACAATGAGGACCTCCCGCATGAGTACGTTATGCTTGCTTCGAGCTCCCCCTTCAGTTTCCGAAGCAACGCCTCACTCGAGTTCTCCCTCCGACTACCTTCACGCCCAATGTCGCCCCGGGTGAAAGTCGAGGTCCTATCATTCAATGGCATGGGGTATGAGAGGTCCGAAAGGATTGCTTTCCATGTGTTCATCAATCAACCACAGGCAACCATACATACCAAACGCGAGGGGAATCCTCACTATGCTGGGTCATTTTTCCACACACCGATCAGTGACAGTGGCACCATCGAAAGAACTGTCAAGTACCCTGTCTTGTACACCCTCCAGCGACAGAAGTGGAGCAAAAAGGAAGTGAACGTCAAGCTCATCCCAGTCCTAGGCGACTATGCTTCTGAACAATGCCACCGGCGCAAACAGAAAAGAGTCGTAAAATTCAAGTCATGCTCCATCGAATACGTCAGATACAAACGCCCGTGATTGTTCCACAAGCAGCAGAAAAAACTGCAGTCGCCACGACCACCATGCCGCACCCCCATTCGTGCTGCCGTGACCATCTCCGTGGACTTTGCTACTCCACCTCACAGCCTGAGCTTCTGGGAACAGATATTGCAGTTGCACCTGACTTATAGCAGCAGTAGTACATGACATCTAAGGGCATCAGTAGCAGTGGCAGCAGCGGCAGCAGCAGCAGCAGTAGCCCACGCCAATTGTGGCAGTAGCTGTGGAAATAGCAGTAGCTCTAGCGGTTGCCCGTCGCAGCATCACTACTAGGTAGCTGTAGATGAGCTCACTTAGAACAGGGGATGAGCTATAAATCCGGTGGCACTAGCAGTAGGATTGAGAATGACAGGTGCAGGTGACCTCTATGACAATAGCACTTGACTTTGTAGACTTAGCAGCAATAGCAGTGGCATTGGCAATAGCGGCACAGATGGCCGTAGTAGTATGGAGGCGTAACAGTAGGAATGCAGTATGAATATCTACAGCACTGTGATAGCAGCCTATAGCACTGTGATAGCAGCCTATAGCACTGTGATAGCAGCAGACGAGCTTCAGCTTATCTGCAGCAACAAGACTACTTCACCTTTTCAAGCAGCTACAGGAGCAGAGCAGCAAGAATAGTGAAAGTAAATGTGGAAGTAGCAAAAAAGGAGCGTCCTACCTCCCCCTTCTCCTCCTCCTCCTCCTTCTCCTCCTCCCCCTCCTACCCTTTTTTCCTTCTCCTCCTCCTCCCTGTCTTGAACTGAAGCTGAACGACGGACTTCTTTCCTTGAGGTCGCTGGTTGATGGTTGTCTCCTCCTCCTCTTTGACTCTGCTTCTTGTCCTGCCCACCACCTCTCTCTCTCCCTCCCTCTCTCTCTCTCTCTCTCTCTCTCTCTCTCTCTCTCTCTCTCTCTCTCTCTCTCTCTCTCTCTCTCTCTCTCTCTCT